CATTATTCTTATCTGGTTTACATAGGTTATAACTGAGGCCTAGAGAACTTAATCATCTCAGAGAAGGTTATTTAATAATGAATTGCTGATGATCACATCAACTTCTGAAATCAGGGATTCTGTGATCTGACTCTGAGCTAAAATCTAGGCAGAAAAAAATTATTCCTAGTACAATAGAATATTTAGGGTTCTGTGTAATTGAATGTTTTAAGACCTTAACAAACCTACCTGAACAATGTTATGGACTATAATTAAAGATGTGTTAGTTGTTGTTGTTGTTTTTTAAGTAGGCTCTGCACCCAGTATGGAGCCCAATGCCAGGCCCAAACTCACAACCTCAAGACCAAGACCTGAGCCAGGATCAAGAGTTGGATGCTTAACTGACTGAACCACCCAGGTGCTCCTAGTCTACTCTTTTCTAACAGTATCCAGTAAATAATTATATGTCCCATTGATGGTTATTCCAAATGTCTACCAGACATTCCGTATACCATATCTCTTTTAATCTCCATGAGAGACCTCAAGTAAGTTTTAGTGTAATGTTAACAGAAACAAGGATGTGTATAAAAAAATCAATAGCTTTGAAAGAACTGCAAGACTGTCTTTCAAAGTGGTCATAAAATTTCTTATACTCAACAGCAATGAATGACAATTCCTGGTTCTCCACATCCTTTTCTGCATTGGGTATTGTCAATGTTTGGGATTTTCTAATAGGTGTGCAGCAGTATCTCACTGCAGTTTTAATTTACAATTTTGGCTTTATTAGTAATTTCTACCAAACATTTAAGAAAGAATACCAATCCTGGGTGCCTGCGTGGCTCAGCTGGCTAAGCAGCTGCCTTCAGCTCAGGTCATGATCCCGGGGTCCTGGGATCTAGTCCCACATCTGGCTCCTGTGGGATTCTGCTACTCCCTTTTCTTCTGCCTGCTGCTCTGCCAGATTGTGCTCTCACTCTCTGTTAAATAAATAAATAAATCTTGAAGGAAAAAAAAAGAAAGAATACCAATCCTTCTTAAACTCTTCCAAAAAATTGAAGAGGCAAGAAGATTCCCAAACTCATTTGTAAAGAATTTGTTATCCTAATAACAAAGACAAGGACACTACAAGAAAAGAAAATTAAAGGACAGTATCACTGACTAAAATAGATGCAAAACTCTTCAATAAAATACTAGAAAACAAAATTCAACAGCACATTAAAAGGATTGTACAACAAGATTAATTTAGTCTTATTCCTAGGATACAAGGATGCTTCTACCTATGCAAATCAATAAATGTGATACGCCACATTATCAAGATGAAGGATAAAAATCACATAATCTTCTCAACAGATGCAGTAAAAGCATTTGACAACATTCAACATTCTTTCATGATAAAAGCTCTCAACAAATTAGATATAGAAGGAATGTACTTCAACAAAATAAAAGCATATGTGACACAGAACATCATACACAGGAAAAAGCTGAAATCTTTTCCTCTAACATCAGGAATAAGACAAGGGTGCCTACTTTCACCACTTCTATTCAACATAGTTCTAGAAATTCTAGCCAGAACAGTTAGGCAAGACAGAGGGGAAAAAACAACCAAATCCTAAAAGAAGAAGCAAAATTGTAGCTATTTGCAGATGACATCTTATAGAGGGAAATTCCGAAAGATTCTACAAAAACCTGTCAAAACTAAATAAATGAACTCAGAAAAGTTGCAGGGTACAAAATCAACATACAAAATTCCCCTTGTTTCTATATACTAAAAATAAACTATCTAAAAATACCTTAAGAACACAACCCCATTTACAGTAGTATCAAAAAGAATAAAATACTTAGGAGTAAATTTAACCAGGAAGTTAAAGATCTGTACTCTGAAAACTATAAAACACTAATGAGACAAATTGAGGAAGACACAAATAAATGGAAATATATTTGGTGTTCATGGATTAGAAGAATTAATGTTGCTATAATGTCCATTTTACCCAAAGCAATCTACAGATTTAGTGCAATCCACAGATTTAGTATATTCCCTGTCAAAATTCCAATGGTGGGGCACCTGGGTGGCTCAGTCATTAAGCATTAAGTGTCTGCCTTAGGCTTAGGTCATGATCCCAGCATCCGGGGATCCAGCCAGCACCAGGCTGCTCCCTGCTCCGCGGGAAGCCTGCTTTCCCTCTCCTAGTCCCCCTGCTTGTGACCCCGCTCTCTCTGTGTCTCTATCAAATAAATAAAATCTTAAAAAATAAAATAAAATAAAATTCCAATGGCATGTTTCACAGAAATAGAAAAAAAAATCCGAAAATTTTTATAGAACCACAAAAGTTCCCAAGTAGCTAACGCAATGTTGAGCAAGAATAACAAAGCTGGATGCCTCACACTTATTGACTTAAAATTTATCACAAAGCTACAGTTATCAAAACTATATGGTACTAGCATAAAAACGGATACATAGACTAATGAAACAGAATAAAAAGTCCCAAAGTAAATACATACATATATGGTCAACTAATATTTGACAAGGGAGCCAAGAATACTTAACAGGGAAAGGATAGTATTTTCAATAAACGGTGCTGAAAAAACTCAATATCCACATACTAAAGAATGAAATTAGACCCTTACATCATATACAAAAGTCAAAATGTTTTCAAAATTTAAATATAAAACCTGAAATCATAAAACTCCTAGCAGAAAACATAGAGGGTAAACTCCTTGACATTGGTCTTGACAATGACTTTTTTTTTGGATTTGACAACAAAAGCATAAGCAACAAAAGCAAAAATAAACAAGTTAGACTGCATCAAAGTAAAATGTTTCTGAATAGCAAAGGAAAAAGTTAAAAAATAAAAAGGCAAATTATGGAACAGGAGAAAATATTTGCTAATCATATCTGATAAGGGGTTAATATCCAAAATATATAATGAATTCATATAACTCAATGCCAGAAAACATAACCATTTAAAAATGAGCAAAGGACCTGAATATACTTTTTTTCAAAGAAGACATACAAATAGACATAGATAAATGAAAAGATACTAATATCAGTAATCTTCAGGGAAATGCAGATGAAAACCACAACGAGATTATCACTTTACACCTGTTGGAAGGGTTATTATCAAAAACTCAGAAAAGATAAGTATTAATGAGGAGATGGAAAAAACCTTGTGCATGGCTGGTGGGAATGTAAATTAATTCGGCCATTAAGGAACACAGTATGGAGGTTCCTTGAAAAATTAAAAATAAGACTACTATAAGGTCCATCAATCCCCCTTCCAGGTATAAATCTGAGAGAAATAAAATCACTATCTCAAAGAACTATCTGCACTCCCATCTTTATTGTAGCATTATTCACAGTAGCCAGGGTATGGAAGCAAACCTAAGTATCCATCAAGAGATGATGGACAAAAAAATATGTGGATACATGCATAAAATGGAATATTATTCAGTCTTTAAAAAAAGAATATTATTCAGTCTTTAAAAAAAAGGAAATCCTGCACTTGGGACAACATAGATGAACCTGGAGGACATTATGCTAAGTGAAATAGGTCAGACACAGAAAGACAAATATTCCATTTTCTTATTTATATGTGAAATCTAGAAGGGGGATTGCTGATCATATAGTACTCCTATCTTTAATTTTTCAAGGAACTTCCATACTGGGATCAGGCTATCTAGTTCATATCAGCTCTATTATTAACTTCTGGTGGGGCCACGGGAAATTCTGACCATCTCTGTGTATCAGTTCTCTCATTTGAAAAATAAGCTTAGTAATACTTCCAGTTGGTCCTCATCTGTTTTCCTAGAGCCCCCTGCACTTGCTATTTATTTTCTAGGTGAAAGGCATAGATGTTGTTCAGGATTACACTGAAAGAATCAAGAACGTGAACCCAAGGATAAGTGAAATTGTCAAATACAGATGAGCTCCTTCACACATACTAGGAGATGGCTTTCTTGGGTATCCTGTCTCTTCTTTGGCCATTCATCCCCAGTCCATCCTAGTACGCAGCTTCTTCCTTTGTGTCTTTCCTCTACATTCTCATGATATCCCTAAAAGACAGTTAATTCTTCATGGTAAACCCTTTCATGTAATTTGTCTGTTTGCCTACCACACTAGAACTTGAGATGCTTAAGGAGAAGGATCAAGATATGCTGGCTTTTTCCCCTCTGGCATCCAGAATGCTTCCTGAAACTTAGCATAGAAGAAAACTAAAAATAAATCTAGTGAAAATTTTTAAAACTTAGGAAATTACTGGAAAATGAATTTAGAAATAATATAGATATAACAAATCCAATTCTTTTCTGCTGTGTTAAAAACTTCAAATATGTTCTTGAATTCACTCCCCCCTACACTTGAGAGTGTATTCTTACCCTTTTCTCATAGAAGATTACTGGGACCCAGAGAACTGCAGAATCATGTCCATGGTCCCAGGGCAGGTATGTGTAACAAAATGAGCAAGGATATAGGAAATCTCCAAGTGTCTATGGACGTTGTTAAAAAAAAAAAAAAAAAAAGTCTTAGGCGAAGGTGCTACAGATACACCTTGCCAAGACGTTACCCCAGTTATTTTAGGATCGGGGAAGGGTCTTTTGGCCTCATTTTCAACAAGTGGTCAACCGTGGTAGTGCAGACAAAGGGGCAGCCCCAAAAGTTCTTAGAACCCGAGCACTCCCTTGTATTACATTCCCACTCTCCACCCAGCACCGCAGGGTGACAAGTTAGCCAGACTTACACATATGGCGGAGGATGCCACAGTCAGGATAAGGAAAAGGACTGCCGCCCAACCGCAAAACGGAGTGGCCCAGGGATCCCTGCACCCCGTTCTCCCCGCCATCCACCTCCACCCTCACCCTTACTACCCCTCACCAGCTCAGCCGCGGGTCCTGGCGTCGGGCGCCCCCCCCCCCCCCCCCGCATATTAGTCCAAGCCAGGGTCAGGAGCCTGGTGGCAGCAAACAACACTGCAGGAAGAAAGCCAGGAGTCCAGTGAAGCTGGCTACAAAAGAACACTGTCGTGTACATGGCTCTAGCGTCCTCGCAGTCCCTCAATGAGATGGACCTGGGCGCGCAGCGGGAGCGCTGGGAGACGTTCAGGAAGCGGCGGGGCCTCAGCTGCGAGGGCGCCGCCAAGTTCCTGCTGGACACCTTCGAGTACCCAGGCCTGGTGTATCACACCGGAGGCTGCCACTGCGGCGCGGTCCGCTTCGCCGTCTGGGCCCCCGCAGACCTGCGCGTGGTGGATTGCAGCTGCAGGCTGTGCAGGAAGAAGCAGCACCGACACTTCCTCGTCCCGGCCTCGCGCTTCACTCTCCTGCTGGGCGCCGAGAGCGTCGTCACCTATCGATCCCACGCGCACCCGGCGCTGCACAGCTTCTGCAGCAGGTGCCGGGTGCAGAGTTTCCACGCCTCTGTCTCTGACCCCGGCGTGTATGGCGTCACCCGGCGCTGCCTGGACAAGGGAACATTTTCCTAGAGGTTAAGCCCACAAACTCGTGAAGGCCCCCTTCACGAGTGTACTGTCCGAGCAGTACACGCTCAGCTTTAAGCAAGTTGACCATTTAAGCGTTCTATGTTTATGGCTCTAGAGGCATGTGCTCCAAGTAAGCAAATCGTGGTTGTTGAATCTGTTTTTCAGGGTGGTGGCTTGCCCTGCAACCTAAATTATCCAGTGGGTTAAAAAAAAAAAAAACCTGATTCAGTTTGTACAGGGTCTTCTTGTTATATGAAAGGGGGTGATGATTTCCAGCCTCTTCACACAATGGCACTGAAAACCCAAAGTCCTCTTTGTGGCCATTTTTGCAGTACGCTAAAATGAGTATAAGGCTCTGAATTAGAAATATCATGGCAGGGGCGCCTGGGTGGTTCAGTGGTTAAGCATCTGCCTTTGGCTCAGGTCGTGATCCTTGGGTCCTGCAATCCATCCCTGAATCAGGCTCCCTGCTCCGCCGGGAGCCTGCTTCTGCCCCTCCCCTGCTCCTGCGCAGGGGCGCTCTCTCTCTCTCTCTCTCTCTCTCTCTCAAATAAATGAATAAAATCTAAAAAAAAAAAAAAGAAATATCATGGTAAATTTCAGAGTAACAGAAAAGATGAAAGTCTCAGAGCCAGAACAGGATTAAGTAGGGTGTGCAGAGTGGGGGTTGGGTGATTGGTTAAGTGGGGATTTCATGAAAGGCTAGTGTTACTACTTAACTTTAAAGATCTTGTGTGTATGTTATTTTGAGAAAACTAAAGACTAGGTGATGCATTTTATATAAAATAGCCTGTAGAAATTATATGTAAGGAAATACATAGAAATGGTAAGTTTAATTTCAAGAAGATTAAATAAATGCTTAAACATACATACAATTCCTTAAAGTTATTGCCTCCTTTTTTTTAAGTTTTTGTTTTATTTTCAGTTAGCTAACATACACTGTTATAGGAGTTTCAGGTGTACATTATAATGATTCAACAATTCCAAACATCACTCTGTGCTCATCACAAGTGTATTCCTTAATCCCCATCACCTAGTTAACTCATCCCCCTACCCCCCTCCCCTCTGGTAACCATCAGTTTGTTCTCTATAGTTAAGAGTCGGCTTCTTGGTTTGCTCCCCTCCACCAGCTTCTTTCCCCTTTGCTTGTCTTGTTTTGTGTCACAGGGTTAAGAAAGAACATTAAAGTATTAAGAAAATAGAACCAAAGGTCAGTCTTAATGGAGGGTTCAATTTGAAAGGCTGCCAGAATTGTTTGTTTGTTTTGTGGATGGGAAATTAAGGAGATTTTTAAAAATTTTTTAATTAAATTTTTAATTTTTAAAATTCCAATGTAGTTAACACACAGTACTATATTAGTTTCAAATGTAAAATATAGTGATCCAACAGTTCCTACATTACTCAGTGCTTATGAAGACAAGTGCACTCCTTAATCCAAATCACCTATTTAACAACCCCCCCACTCCTCCTGTCTGGTAACCATCAATTCTGTATAATTAAGAGTCTGTTTCTTGATTTCTCTCCCTCTCTCTCTCTGTTTCTCTTTTATTTTTTCCCTTTGCTTATTTGTTTTATTTCTTACATTCCACATATGAGTGAAATTATATGGTATTTGTCCTTCTCTGACTTATTTCACTAAGCATTATACTCTGTAGCTCCATCCATAGCATTGCAAATGGCAAGATTTCATTCTTTTTGTAGCTGAAGAATATTCCATTGTAAATATATACCACAACTCCTTTATCCATGGACACATGGGTTGCTTCCATATCTTAGCTATGGTAAAGTAACACTTCTGTAAACATAGGGGTGTATGTGTTCCTTTGAATTAGTGTTTTTGTATTCTTTGGTTGAATACCAGTAGTGCAATTGCCGAATCATAAGGTAGTTCCATTTTTAACTTTCTGAGGAACCTCCATGCTGTTTTCCACAGTGGCTGCACCACTTTGCATTCCCATCAACAGTGCAAGAATATTCCTTCTTCTCCACATCCTTGCCAACACTGGCTGTTTTTTGTGTTGTTGATTTTAGCCATTCTGACAGGTGTGAGGTTGCCTCCCCCTTGTTGATGTTAATTGTAACTATTTGTAAATTACGTGGGTTTTTTTGAATTTTTTTTTTTATTTTCAGCATAACAGTATTCATTGTTTTTGCACCACACCCAGTACTCCATGCAATCTGTGCCCTCTCTAATACCCACCACCTGGTTCCCCCAACCTCCCACCCCCGCCCCTTCAAACCCCTCAGATTGTTTTTTCAGAGTCCACAGTCTCTCATGGTTCACCTCCCCTTCCAATTTCCCCCAACTCCCTTCTCCTCTCTAACCCCCCTTGTCCTCCATGCTATTTGTTATGCTCCACAAATAAGTGAAACCATATGATAATTGACTCTCTCTGCTTGACTTATTTCACTCAGCATAATCTTCTTCCAGTCCCGTCCATGTTTCTACAAAAGTTGGGTATTCATCCTTTCTGATGGAGGCATCATACTCCATAGTGTATATGGACCACATCTTCTTTATCCATTTGTCCATTGAAGGGCATCTTGGTTCTTTCCACAGTTTGGCGACCGTGGCCATTGCTGCTATAAACATTGGGGTACAGATGGCCCTTCTTTTCACTACATCTGTATCTTTGGGGTAAATACCCAGTAGTGCAATTGCAGGGTCATAGGGAAGCTCTATTTTTAATTTCTTGAGGAATCTCCACACTGTTCTCCAAAGAGGCTGCACCAACTTGCATTCCCACCAACAGTGTAAGAAGGTTCCCCTTTCTCCACATCCCCTCCAACACATGTTGTTTCCTGTCTTGCTAATTTTGGCCATTCTAACTGGTGTAAGGTGGTATCTCAATGTGGTTTTAATTTGAATCTCCCTGATGGCTAGTGATGATGAACATTTTTTCATGTGTCTGATAGCCATTTGTATGTAAATTACGTGTTTTACTCTTGATCCCAGCAGGTTTGCACATTCCTTAATTTCAGTAGTAATTAGAAAATTACACTTGGCTAAATTTGGAATAAACAACACAAGAGAGGAGATTTTATCCCTATCTCTCAAATGGAGAAAATCACTGCTCAAAAGATGAAGTACTTGTTTAAAGACATACACTAAGTAAGTGGTAGGCCTGGGACAGTTGCCCAAGTCCATCTGAGGTTTTGATCTATGTTATCTGTAGTATCTCTCTCTCCCTTTTCTAGAATGCACATCTTTTAATACCCAACACTTTATCAGAAAATGATGTGATTCTTTTACTGGGTTTGGGAACCAAAATTACTATTGAATGCAGAAGGAAAGTTGTGCATTCAATAGTAAAATCATACCATTCTTTTAAGGGAACACAAATTCCTAAAACAATAAAAATGTTATTTAGAAGCTAGAAGAAAAGATAGAAATCTTCCAAATTTATTTAATGGAATCTAGCCCCTGATTCTGAAACCTGGAAGAAATAGTATTCTACACACATAGAGAAATATGGATCTATTTTACTTATTTATAATTTATTTATTTATAGATTAAATTTTTTATCAATAAAGTTTGAATAAAATTCAACAGTGTTTAAAAATCTACCATGCCTTGGTATTTTCCTAGTCATGAGAATATGGTATAATATAAGGAATATTTCAACATTTTAATAATCCACTATATCCATTAGTCAAAGCAGAAAAATCATATGATCATCTTAAGTGCTGAAAAAAGAATTCAATAAATTCAAACTGCAGTTTTTCTTAGTTCTTGTTTAGTTCTTAATCTGTCATCAGATGATGGAATTATGTAAAAATTCTCCACTACTACACATGTATAATTCCTTATCCAAGAGTCCCGGGACTAAATATTTCAGAATTCATATACCATACATTATATAAATCCACAGCAGTGTCTGGAGCAATGCTACTAAATCTAATACAACAATATTTCTGCAGTGAAACATATAAATAATCACTCCAAGATATATAAAGATTGCAACTAGCCTTATGTCAGTTTAGGTCAAATTTTATGGGCAAATGAATCAGGAAAATTAAGTTCAGTTTTCAAAGCATTTCAACTTTAAAATTGCCTATATGGGATTATGAGTCTAAAGCATATGTCAGTTCTTCTTGCCTTTTATAAGGTTTTTTCTTTTATGTTGGCTTTTATTTGTTATTGAAGTAGAACATATAAAAATAAGAGTGCATAAATTAAAAGAGGCAACAACTTGATGACATTTTACAAAGTGAAAACATGGGGATACATGCACCCTGATATTTATAGTAGCATTATGAACAATAACCAAACTATGGAGAGAGCCCAAATGTCCATCAACTGATGAATGGATAAAGAAGATGTGGTACACATATACAATAGAATATTACTCAGCCATCAAAAAAAGATGAAATCTTGCTTTTGCAATGACGTGGATGGAGCTAGAATGTATTATGTTAGGTGAAGTGAGTCAGTCAGAGAAAGACAAATACTATATGATCTCACTCATATGTGGAATTTAAGAAAGAATACAGTTGAACGTATGAGAAGAGGGAAATGGAAAAAAGAGAGAGAGTGAAACAAAGCATAAGAGACTCTTAATGATAGAGAACAAACTTGAGGGTTGATTAAGGGAAGTGGGTGGAGACGGACTAGTTGGGTGATGGGTATTAAGGAGGGCACTTGTTCAAATGAGCATTAGCTGTTGTACATAAATGACGAATCACTGAATTCTACCCCAGAAACCAATATTGCATTTTATGTTAACTACTTATTATTATAAAAAAACAATGTAAAGACATGAATCAAGAGTAAGAAACCTATACCAAGCCCCAGAAACCTATATTATTCCCCCATCTAGTCATTACATTTGACTTAACCACTATTCTGACCTATGTCACTATATATTCATTTTGCCTGTTTTTTAAACTTTATACAAACGGAATTATCTTGTACCTTTTTTTATGATTGGTTTGCTTCACTTAATACTATGATTTGGGGCTCTGTTTATATATATTTGCTGTATATGGGGTTATTTGCTTGT